TGCTTTACTTTAGTATACACCCACGTAAACAATACAAAAATCAAGTACAAGTCATAGTGGGAGCAGCAACTATTCGCTCACAGGCACACGCAAGGTATCTAGGGGTGATTTACGACAAAACACTTTCGTGGAAAGAACATGTGAACCATGTCAAAGGAAAGGTCAACTCCAAAATCAATCTGTTGAGATTTCTTTCACGATCAACTCCAGAATCGAATGATCGAATCATGGTGAACTTATTCAAATCTCTAATTAGACTCGTGTTAACATTTGGTGTATCAATCTTGCTAAAAGCAGAAGACAAAATATGGCAAGAACTTCAAACACTTCAGAACAAAGCATTACGAGCTGCACTGGGAGGTCCATCCTACACATCTAGAACATATATACATCAACAAAGTAGAATACCAAGGCTAAAAGAATACTGTGAACACTTAACTAAAAGAGCTCTTCTACGAGCCGAAATTTACAAGGACATTATCACGATGGAAAACCTACACACTTTATTATATTTGTAAACTTTTACTTTCCGTTGTAGTGTTTTCTGACAAAAGACTTCGGTCATCAGTCAGCTTGTATATCCTTTTTTCAGGTTTATTAATAATAAACTGCTGTTTCCTCATATGTTGAATTTTTATTACAAGTGTTACCAGACGCTGATGCTGGTTTTAAACAATGAATTCTATTTCGTCTACTATTACACATACAATATCTCTCAAATAAATTGACGCACGTCATACAACGACCGTGTAAAACGATCGCATCGAGACCACTTTCTTTTCAATAAGCATTCTGATTAATCAAATTTTGAAAATATAATTTGACAGCAATATGGTTAACAGGTCAAAATGAGAATTTAAGATAATAATACAAAGAAGCAGTATATTGCACATGGTCGGCGTTATAAGCGTCGATTCTAACGGAATAGTTGTCCTCATCATCAATGTTTCAGAAATGATTGAATGAATGCTCAGCGAACAATTTCTTCCGATCCAACAACGATTTTGTTTCGATGGATCATTTCCAGACATATTCGAAACACCTCATAACGAATGAATGTTACGCATCTGCTTCGTTTTCATCACGCTGCTATTTTTCTCTTTACGAGCTATTGCACAGAAATCACAACCTACACTAGTAGACGAAATCGATGTGCGAATTTTTGATTAAAAATTCTACCGTGAGTACAGGAAACGTATCTAGAAAGATACTTAAAATCTTTTGGTTGGAGGGCGCTTCCTTGAAACCAAAGTTAGAGCATTTTTTTGTAAAAGTTTAGAAGAAGAAATGGGAACTATAGTACAGGAAAGTTCGGCGCAAGTATTGACATTCAATAATTTTGGAAGAAATAAATACGAAATATCAGACTGCTTTTTAGTTTTTCCTGAAAATTACAGTTGTTTGGATGAGAAATGACAAAGTTATGAGTATACCGAACAAAACTTGTGCAGTTTTAAAGAGCACACTTCAGAGGATAGAATAAACATTTGCAGCTTTCGGACTTTGTACAGGAGGATTTACCAACGTCGACCTGATCCGGAGACATGATTTTCCACAGTTTTACTTCCCATCAGCTCCTCTATCCAATAGTAAAAACTGCATTGTGGTAGCTCTTTCCGTTAAAACGTTATTCAAAAAATGCCGAGGATCATTCGTTTTATGAATAGTAGTTCGTATGACAAAGCTTAGAATTTTTTTCTTTCTTCAACTTCACACATCAGCTGAGCACAAATAAAGTGCATGGCTATAAGAAACGTGGCTAGATACGTTTCTAAGAACGTCAGAGTCCTTCCTATGCTCAAAATTGTTATGAAAAGAAAAAATTATTTTTAAAGAGGGTCTAGAGGAATCTATAGGACAGAACCAAAGACCTATCCTTGTATGATCTGATGAAATCTTTCAAGATCTTATCACTCTTGCACAATTATACAAGATTTTATCACAAGGTCTTGCAAGGTCTTACGAAATCTTGTGAAATCTTATAAGATTCTTGAACCAAGATTCTTGTAAAATCGTGTAAGATCCTGTGAAATCTTATGGTAACTTGTAATATGATCTTACAAGATCTTGTATGATCCTACAAGATCATATTTCAAGCCTGGGGTCGAATGATTGTTTATAAACTGTGTGAGGGATCATATATAGATCATATCTAGAAATATAAAGCTAATTACGAAATGAAGACATATAAATTTTGAAACTGAGTTAACACTACTAATGGGATTATAAGAGGATTATTTTAGATAATGCTACGTAGAAGTAGTATAAATAAATGAAGAAATACGTAGGAATAAAAAACAGTGCCACATGATTTTGGTATGGCGATGCGGTACTGATGTCAGCCAGTGCAGCACTCTAATTAATACAAAATTACCGAAAGGAACGATAATAAAAAAACTAATTTCCGGTTAGATAAATTCGAGTGCGACACTGGAAAAAGTCAATGTAGCACTTTCTCAGAAAATATATATATCGGCGGCACTGCATTTTGATGCCGAACATGAATTATATTAATAGCTTTTGTACTTTGCTCAATTTTTTCTGTGAAAAATAGAAATATTTGACTAAACTTAAATTATACTGTACAGTACAACTGTGCACTTTAAAAAATAGTCGTAGATTAATAAACTATCGAAAAAGGTTTATCGAGACCAATAAACCTTTTAAAAAACAAACGCTTTTTAGTTTTTTAGAAATAAAAAACGGACTATTTTTTACAGCGTGCTTCTATTGAAATTTATAACTTACATTCGAAGACCGTTCAGTGGAATGGTAGGCCAAAGTAAGTTTTCATGTCCGAAGGGATTGACTATAGATCCTCCCGTAGTTAGTCGTGTGCTACATCACTTGGACTAATTGGCACTGACTTCCGCTTCTTGAGCATATCCATAGGTAGACCAGAGTTGGAACCAGTATGAAAACGTGCACCGATATTAGACCGAATGATATAAAACGTTTTAAAACCGGCAAACCGGTGGGATAAAAAACTGTGGAAATGATGAACTTTCAGAATTATAGGACTGTTAGCCGCTCTCTGCCCGAAAGAGCCTTGATTCCCTTCGTCGCGTAGAGCCCATTCTACAATGAAGAGCTTTTACTTTTTTTCAACTTTTCTTTTCCGAAGTTTTTTTGAAATACCAGCCGAGTGGCATACCGGTCCGGTCCCAGTCCTGAGGTAGACTAACCAGAGCAGTCAGAGGAGATCACAAAAATGGCGCAAAACGAACATCGTAAAATTTAATCTTGTCATATGTCAAATAAAACCTTGACCCTCAAGGTTTCATAAGCACGTGCTTATGTCGTGCGAGCATATATCATTGAAAAGTGCTTGTTTACGTTAGAAAAAAGAATAGCACTATATACATCAAACATAGTTTGATTATGCATTAAGAAAAAGCGCGGGTTTGGCCATTTTTTGTGGCATCTTTTCATAACCAAAATCATCTTCAAAATCATTTTATCAGCAAAGTTTTATGCAAAATGTTTGGAAAAGCAGAGCACAGCTCAGAATTTTAAAATTTACACTAAATGACAAGGAAGTTTTTCTGATCTGAGTAAATAAGTCTTGTTTTGTTTTTATTGAAGAGACAATAACTGGTTCCATTCAGTCGCTAAAGCCCCCCTTCCCCCAGAAATGATAATTTTCAGTCAAAAGATCGGTTTTGAGATACTCACATGGAAAGATAGCCTGAAGTGTCTACTTTAAGAATCTGTATCGCTTTTGGTTACAAAACTTGTTTTTCGGAGATTTTGAGCAAGTTTTCTAGGAGCCTCAAAAAACCGGGTCTTCAAATAATAGTTTTTTCCTGGATACTTATACAATTAAAATTTTTCGACACACAGCTTTGAAGAGCAAACGTTTCTGATCAATATAAGACCTCCACAACTCTGTATGACCTTGCATTAAAAAGTTACAGGCATTTTCCTAGAAGTCCCAAAATCGAGTATTTCATACAGCGTTTTCTCTATATAAGAGTTACATCTGAAGTGTGTCCCAAGATTTTTAATAGCGGTTTGTCGTGGAGAGTTCATTCTTTTTTTGTTTAAAAGAGGAAAAGAAACTACATGGACTGACCGGCGTCGATTTTTGAATTAGGTCTTAGGTTTTTGTCAAACTGAGGATTTTTAGAAATCCGGAAGGATTTTTCGGATTTTGGAGGTTGTCGGTTGCCTGGAAAGCTAATAAAGGCTTAATTGAAAAATCGGCGCCAGTCAGTCCGTGTAGTTAGGTGTCTAGTTTAAAATAAAACAAACCCGAACTCTCCAGCTTGAAGTATATTAAAAAATCTTGGGACACACTTCAAGGTCACTTTTGGACCTTGAACTCTGGAAAACTCCTAAACCGTAAGACTTGGAGACAAAAAAAAATTTTCATTACTGTAACTCATTGTGCCTAACATTTATGGATAGTTTCGTCAAGATCGGATGCACGGTGTCGGGGATAATTTTTGAGGGAGGAGGGGCCCTTATGCCACTTTCCCTGTTGTCACTAGATGTCAGCCACTTCTCTGCCACATCCAAGTCTCAATAGTGGTCAACAAACAACTATCAAATGGCTGACTACCAGCCGCTTATAAGTGAGTCAAAATCGTCGAGGAATGTTAGGAACGAAACAGAGGCACAGAGACGTAGGAACAGTGAGGATGACGCCCCCAGCATAGATTCTGGAATATAAAAAAGCATAGACGCGGGAACTGACTGGTTTCCACTACTTTAAGGATCCATTTCTGTAAATTTATCATATAATCGCTACATCTTTTTGTATCTTAGACCCTTTTTCTCTGTTTACTACAAGTGTATATTTGGTGACTTACGAAGAAACTTGGGTTTAACATCAGTTTTCTCCTAATTACTCAAAACTCAGTGCGTTAAAGTAGAAAATTATTGCATAAATATTAGAATCATGTCGGAAAAATATTCCGATATCTACCTTCAGTTTTCCCAGAAAATCTCCCCACAACTTCTAATTCGTTTCGCCGCCACTGAAGCAAACGCTAGTGATGAAAACACGTATACTTCCAGGTATGTTTATATCTTCACTGCGACAGTGTTCTTACTCTTAGCAATTGAGTATCTTGTCATCAAAATCATTTGAATCAACTATGCACTTTTCTTGTTTGCTGATTCGTTCGAATATTTCTACTATATTGAAATAAAATACTGTGAATTTCGCCTGTTGTTTCCTTTGATTTTAGCTTCAAATACTAGCTCCCGTTTTGCGGACAGGCAGTTAATTTTCTAGAACATGTTCCAGCAGGCCTTTTTGAAATTCCTAAAAAGCCCGTAGTTTTTCGGAAATAAGTGGAGTAATCTCAAAGGACATACCATAAAAATGACGTTCTATTTTCATTCTCTATTTATTCTCACCTATAGTACTGCAGAATTGAATTAAAACTATTCAACGAGAACGTAATCAAGAAAATGAAGCTCCCTCTTACTGATTATGTTCTCGCTAAGAACGCGTAAGCGTTCTGTTTAAAATAAGAGATCCTGTAGGTGTGTGCAATGTTTTTTCGCGATGTTATTTGATCATCTGCTGATTTTTTCTTATTTATAGGGACTTAATTTCTTTTTTTAAACCGAACAAACTGCATGAACCAATAGAGTTCTCTAGTAGACATCCTTGACTGCTTAGTAAGTACCTGAAAAAATTGGTAAATATTTTGAAAAACTCCTTACTTATCATGAACCTTACAAATACTCCTTCAGGATTTCAATACTTGATTTTATTACTACGAAGTACTCTGCTGAAGTACTTACAAGTAAATTTATCTCTGGAAAACATGCAATGATCGACTTCATTACACTTATACAAGCGAAGCATTTGTGCCTAAGGACATCCACTAGAGCTTATATTTTGCACTTAGGTGTTAATCTTTTATAAAAGTTTGGTTTTATAGCCATAAAACCTTTTAAAAAGGTGTTCGATTTCAAAGTCCTCTAAAATGGAATACAAGACAAAAACGAAAACACAGGCTCCATCTGGGATGAGACAGAGTGTTTTATTTGATGTAAAACTATCCCAATCTATGTATTTCTTAATTTTAATAAAATTCCGGAAATAGTGGAAGGTTAATTTCATCTTTTTAATCATCGTTTGAATAGAATTGAGGCTAGATAATTGAATTTGTTTTTTTCTAACTGATATTCTGTATGACCAGCTTTTCTTGAAAATTTTCATGTGAAATAAAAAGACATGTTCTTAAATAATATAATCCATTATCAAGATATATTCTACGTACAAGTTTCCTTTTTATAGAACATAAATTTATTTTATGGTTAGCAATGTCTGATGAATATTGGCTGATATCTGCGCCGGGAAAACCGTCCCCAAGACAAACATATGATCAAATTTGTAATGCAACAGGAAAAGATCAATTATCAACAAATTTCATTTTTAATATTCCAGATTTAAAGGTTAATTTAAACAAGAAGAATGATTTTTGTTTAAGTTTGTTTTTCCTATTATTTTAGGTTGGTACACTTGATTCACTTGTATCATTATCCGATGATCTTGGAAAATTAGATTCATACGTAGAAGGGTAAGATTAGATTTATGATATAAAAATATTTATATATCTAATTCAATTCTCTTTCGTCAATCTACTCTTATATATTTAGTGTTACACGTAAATTAGCACAATATTTTAGTGATGTTTTGCAAGGAGCATCGTCGCAAAAGATTGCAGTCGTCATGGCAGAAAATTTAGTCGTTGGACCAAATAATGGTAAACATATTATTTTCAGTAAAAATAAAGGCAAAATGCTAGGTGAATTAACGTTTTTGAGAAATTATTCTATATATCAAGGTATTCGTTGAAGAAAACGGTATGAAGAAAAGCATTTACTATGAAATTAAACACTGAGATATTTCATATGAGAGTATTTTCTTATACAACGCTTCTTTTTTATTTGACAGTCATGATGTCGAAACAATTTTGAAAAATCTTATATTATTAAAAATTTGTTTATTAATTGGTTTATTGTAAAAAGACGTTTTCTTCTCTTTTAGTTGATCCTGTTACCTATGTAACTGATTTTCAATGGGATTTTGCTAAATATCCAACAAAACAACCATTAAAAACGTTATCAGAAGTTATTTCTAAAGTGAGTGTATGATTTTTATTTTTATTTTTATTTATTAATTTTTATAATTTTAATTCTAAAGGCAGTAACACATATTGAAAATGAACTTAAACTTCGTAGTCAAGCATATAATAATATTAAACAAACATTACAAGTACTCGAAAAAAAACAAACGTTCGTATTTCTGATTTAATTATTATTAATTATTATTCTTTTTTTTTTTAATAAAATTTATGTATATTTTAGTGGTAGTTTATTAACACGAAATTTAAATGATCTTGTTAAAAAAGAAAATTTATTATTAGGTAGTGAATATTTGAAAACCTTATTGGTATGTGTACCAAAACCATTAATAAAAGATTGGTATGATAAATATGAGACTTTATGTGCAATGATTGTACCAAGAACATCGGAATTAATTACTCAAGATCAAGATTATGTTTTATTTACAGTTACATTATTTCAAAAAACAGAAGACACATTCAAACATAAATGTAGAGAAAATAAGTAAGTTGTTGTAGATTATGTTGTTCATACTGTTGTTTATTGTGTTTTTATTAGATTTACTGTTCGTGATTTTACATTTGATGAGCAAACATTATCATCAGATAAAGAACAATTAAATAAATTAGAATTAGATCGTCAAAAATTGTATGGTGGTTTAGTACGATGGTTAAAAATTAATTTTGGCGAAGTCTTTTCAGCATCTATACATATTAAAGCATTAAGAATATTTGTCGAATCTGTTTTAAGGTAAGTAAAAAAATATTTTTTTCTAAACTAATTATGTTTTCACTATTTTAAATGTATATAAACTTTGATAGATGCAAAAAAATACATGTTACATATATGATGACAAATTACTTTTCTTTCTTTATTCGTTCATAATAGTCTGTCAATATTGAGATAATTTTTACATGTAATGAAAAAAATTATTATTATGTAGGTATGGTTTGCCTGTGAATTTTGTTGCTATTGTTATTCATCCATTGCGTCGTTCAACAAAAAAGTTACGTGATGTACTCAATAATTTATTTGCTTATTTGGATCAATCGAGTTCAACGCGACAAGAAGATGTTAGTTAGTTTTTTGTTTTTTTTCTATTGAAATGTTTTTCTTATTGTTTGTTTTTTCTTTTATTTAGAATTTTGATATACCCGGTGTCTTTTCATCACAACAAGAATATTATCCCTATGTTTATCTCAAACTCGACCTTGACTATACGGAAACAAAAAAATCGTAAGATGTTCGGTTTTTTTTTAAAATATATATCTCTTTCGATCAATATGTGCAATAACCTCGGTGTTTTTAGTCGTTGTTCTAGTCATTTTTTCTGTTTTGTTCTAGTCATTTTTCTGTTTTATTCTAAGTTGTATGTCTATATTTACCTGACAAAAATAAGACGTTGTAATCGTGTGTGTTAAAATAAATTATTTTTTAATCGTATATCTAGTTTTGTGTCGTTGTTATTTTTAGTTTTAGTTGTAAACGTTTATTTTCCTTCAATTCGATATAAGTAATATTAATACAAAATATATGATCATTCTATCTATTGAACTGTTAATGTGTCTTCTATAAGAATTTAGAATATTCGCTTGGTGTTTTTGTTTAAATGTGATAAATCGTATTTCATTTTGGCCTTAAATTTTCTTATATATCTCGCTTTTGCAGACAGTATAAGATATTCTTCTGTATTACTAGTACTGTAAACACTAATCAATGATCGCAGTTGATGAATAAATAAATTTGTGTTATAAAGGTTGTACTAATTGACGTTTTTCTCATCCACAACCACTAGATAAATGATAAGATTCTGTCTGAAGATGGCTATTTTTAGAAGGGAAATTAGCGTCGAAGACTGCTAAGAAAATCTGATTACGCGTCTTTTCTTTTTAAATTCGTCGGTATATTTTATTTTAGAATTCTCAAACTGAGAGGCAATCTGATCATATAAAAAAAACACATTGTACCACTTACTTCTTCATAAAAAATCTTGGTGTATTGATAGCTTCAAATAGTTATTAGATTCGATTTTTGAAACTGCAAATTTCTAATTTGTACTCATGTGATATTCTCTTTTTCTTTTATGTATGTTGACGAACGTTTCTATGTTTGCTTAATCTAATCTTCTTTTCTTTGGTACTTATGCATATAGCACAGCGCACATTGAGGCGGACATTTAACAAAAAAGCAAACGTAAGAGGTTTTTTACATCTACCCAGGTCATTGGTTACGATGACCATATACGCTGAATTACGGCTGTGTATTTTAACGTAAAACGCCGTAAACGGTCGTAACTTGACCGTAATTCTATGCTCCGTAACAATGTAGCTGTGAACCTTTTACGAGACTGTTTACGGCCTTAACGGACCCGCATACGCTTGTTTACGGCGGCAGTATTACAGAGCATAGGATTACGGCGTCGCAAATCGATTTTACGGCCTTTTACGGGTCGTGTTGAATCACCTAGACAATTAGAGAAAAATCGACTTCGATATTAGGCACCGCAAGAGATTTACGGACTATAGTAGGAAAACGACCCAACCAAAAAAAATGTAATACGATAATTTTGAAAATTATTTCAATTATTGGTTGAAATTTTGGATCCTCATCGGATTCGATGCTAAACATAAAACTCCTGAACACGTTTTGAATGAATGAATGTTTTAATTTGAAGTAGTAGCGGTAGACAACTTATATCATAATTTAGGCTACGAAATCTGTTATTATAGCTCTCATATTGTATAATGGATCGTCGAAAAAACCTAGATTTTCAAGATAAAGTTATTTTCAACGAAAACTAATATCGTATTCGTAGTTACAATGTCAAACTGCATCGAAGTCATATTTACGCGTTAGTTTTATAAGGAAAAAATTCACTTAAAAATTGGTGACCTCTTGCGATTTTTGTAAAAAAAGTTTTTTTGAAATACAACGATTACTTTTAGTTGAGGTGAATCATATTAAATTGAGAAGAAAGTTTATTCAGAAGTAGATTATGTGCGCATTAGACGTCAACAATAACCACTGTACATGTGCCATTTCACTTTTTTCTTCAGCTCAGGTTATACCTAAGTTACATACTCTCGAAAAAAAATTTTGTATCCTACAGAACTCAAAAAGGATATTTCTATACCGGGCAGCGTTTTCGATTAGGTTGGGGGAATTCCTCCACCTTATTTGAAAAAAATGACTCCCTTCATTTTAAAAAATTTATGTTCGACAACTATTGGAATATTTAATCATGGTATATGGGTTCGTGGTCTAACTCAATATTTTATGCAATCAAATCCCAAGACAATTTGGTTGGTTAATGAGAATACCGCAATTCGAAAATTTATAATCAATTTTCAAAGGGTACTATGCACGCAAACTAATGACAAGAGCTAAAAAGCCGAATATGGATTGTGTGCAGTTCTTTTGGATTGTTTACAATCCCGACTGCCAGTTTGGGAATACGAGTATTAGAATTTGTTTGACAGATTTCATAAAAAGTTCTCTATTGTTTTTTTTTAAAGTTATCTCAATTAGTTTTCTATGGTTGTAATATGTATATCAATATATTCGAAATTGAAAAAACGAAACAAAAAACATTCACATCTAGCCTAGAATATTCGACTTTTTCATCTAACATAGTTCAGGCATAGCATCGAAAAGGAGTGCGTATATTTTAACTGTAAGAATCTCAACGATGAGTGAAACATAGATGTTTCTACTTGGAAAATTTCTCAGAAACACTAAAATTTTCGCTGGATTTACCGCATTTCAGTTAACATTGAGTATATTTTAAAATGCTGAAGTATTTTGAAGTCATTTTTTGAGTGAGTTCCGAATTTGTTTTTGCAATCTAAGATTTAGATAGCTGTTGGTCTGCAAAATTTTTTATTATTTGACTACTGTAATTTCAAATTGTTATTTTTGTTTGTCACTGATACAGTCTTTTGCTAATCTCATAGTTTGACCTTCTGTACGTGATTATAATTTATATTTTCTGCAGACAAATTCATCAAATATCTATTGATTAATTGACTAGTTGTTGTTTTCCCATGTTTCAAGGTTAAAAAAGGTTTTATATATCGTTTAAATTCTATTATATAATGCTCGATGTTTTCAGAAATATTTTATGATTGTTTAAATGCATGTAATATGATTTATTTGATACATTTTTTTCCACCATATTGATGTATAATTCTCTTCAATCAATTCATTGTTTTTAATTTGTATTTTAATTTTATTACGTTGAGGAAAATGAATTTAAACTTATTTACAATCTAATTTTGTGCTATTAACAAAAACAGTTAATTTATGCGTGTTGCACTATATATCATTTATGTGTAGATCTGATCGTTCAACGTTATATTGAGAAAAATATTGGTACAGATGGAATTGAAATTATCAGTGTAGTATATTTATTCTTTTTACTCTTGGATTATTTTTTGATTCATTTTTGTTCTCTGACTATTAACGCCGTCTATGATTTTCTTATCATCATCTGTTAATATTGTATTCTGAGTTTTTTTTCTCTCGTTCTTTTTATTTTTTTTTATTTTTTTGAAGATGATGATGATATATATATCTATATATTCGTCTACGTCGCTAAATTATTATATAGCTCTCTTTTTATTCTTCCAGTTCAGCACGATTGTGTGAGTGTGTGTGTGTGTGTGTATAAAAAGAAGGATGAGCGGTAGAAAAACGTTTTCTTTAAATTAGTTATGTCAAACGTGTTTTTCATACAAATAGACGAAATTGATTGCTGCCACGATGTAAATATACGTTCTATATTTAAAATACAGAGAGGACGAAGGTGATTGACATAGATTTTTATTCAGACGCATGTGTCAAACATGTCGAGAAGAAAATCTTAACTATAGTAAATTGTCCTTTCAATGTTTTTTTACATATTTCAGCTAACAGAGAAGAAAAATAAAAACACGATCGATGTCGGCTAATCATCTCGTGTTGTTTCCTCTATGACATTTTTATGAATTACGTAAAGTAAGAAAACTGTTCTGTATTTTAATGTTTTAGATATAATAAAATCTGACATGGCAAGCGCGGATTCCGTAGAGCATACAACAACAGTAACAACAGTAACAACATCAGCTAATTCGGTGACTGATACACCATCAGCAACATCAACTGATTTGGTGACTGATACACCATCAACAACTTTGCCAAGAACAACATCGATGACAAGCACGAGTGAGGCGAAACAAATTACAGTTATTGAACTTGTTGGGTCTGGAGGTATGGATAAACTCCAAATTAAACAGAAACCATATCCAGTTATGAAGGACGACGATGTTATAATACGCGTGCGATTTGCAGGCCTGAATTTTGCTGATTTGATGAGAAGGTACTTTTGTTTGATGTTTCATTTGTGTACTATGCCTGGTATCTTCATTTTCGTTTTAGACAAGGAATTTATTCACCAGCACCGAAAACTCCCTATGTTCCAGGATTCGAAGCATCCGGTATAGTTGAAGCTGTTGGGACAAATGTAAAAAATTTCTCGGTTGATGATCGTGTTATGGTGTTTGCTGGGGATGGTCTTTGGAAAGATGTTATATGTGTAAATTATAACAGTTGTGTTAAAATGCCGGAAAATATGTCATTCGAAGATGCTGCAGCGTTACTTGTGAATTACATAACGGCTTATCATATATTATTTGAATTTGGTAATTTAAGAGAAAACAAATCTGTTTTAGTTCATATGGCTGCAGGTATTATACTATTTTAAAGATACTGTTGATGTGAGCAGAAACATCATCATCGGATGGTTTTCTTGATATTTAGGCGGAGTTGGAATAGCTGCTATTCAACTGTGCAAAACAGTTTCAAATGTAACCGTATATGGCACAGCATCAGCCGCCAAACACGATATTATTAAGTAAGTCTTCTACCAAATGTTTTTTTGCAGACTTAATCGTTTTCGTTCATTTTAAAATTAGAGAAATTGGCTGTACACATCCGATTGATTATCGTACACAAAATTATGTAGAAGAAGTAAAAAAACTAGCACCAAGTGGTATGTATGGAATCTGAACGTACGTTTTCTGTTGATAATGCTCTTTTTGTTGGATCGGTGTTTAGGGGTTGATATCATAATGGATCCATTGAACGGTGCCGATAGCGTTCATGGTTTTCATTTACTTCGTCCGTTTGGCAGAATTATTTATTATGGTGCAGCGAATGTGGCTGCTGGTGGCGAGAATCGTTCATTGCTAACAGCTATGAAAACATGGTTCAAATGTTTCTCAACAAATTCATTTGACATCATGCAAACAAATAAAGCGGTAAGTGTATAGAGAAAAATTTCTACTGGCAGTATAATAGAAATTTGAATAGAAATTTGAACACGGATTATCAACATCAAAAACTAATGATATTAACGGATGATGCAAAGGTTTTTTCCCTTTTTTGTTGACTTCATGTGTCAGTCCAGAAACATTGTACACACTTACTGGTTTTGTAGTGTACATACAGGATAAGAGGAGAATTTAAAAAGAAAATCTTGTTATTTTTAAAGTAAAAAGTGTCCAGTGAAAAAAGTGATGACACTAGTGTGAAATTATTCAATAATCTGATGAGTCTAAATTAGAAGTTTATTTCTGTGAAGGAAAAGATTTAGTCGATATCCCGTACATCAAATGAAAGCTCTTTGAATCGCGATGACCTTGATTAGGATAGAAACTATTGACTTTAAGTAATGGAGTATGGATGATGCCATTTTTGCACAGATTTGATCTTTTTATATTTTTCAAACACCAATGATCACCCTAATTATGCAATATGAACTGCAAAGAAACTGATCAAACAAAGTATGCAGTCTCCATTATCACACGTGATTTTTAAAAATTGACGGCTTGTCTTGTCAGAGTAATATCTCTTTCCAACTGGTTGATGTCCACTGTTCTTATATATTTTTGTAGACTAGAATCTGTTCTTTCTAATGGACATAGAAGTAAGTGTGTACAATGTTTCTGGATTGACACATGAATCAAACAAAAAAGGGAAAAAACTTTTGCATCACTCGTTAGTATCAAGTAAATCTCCCTGCGATCTGAGCATAAATAAACATCATTCTTGTTTCCAATAACATGTTCTTATTTATTTGCAAGATTTGTGGATATCATCTTGGGTATTTATTGAAAAATGAAAAAGAGATTACTGATTTAGCTCGTACAGCGATTGAAAACTTATTAAGGTTATATAAAGAAGGTTTAATAAAACCAAAAATTGATCAGATATTTTCTTTTTCAAACGTGGGAGAGGCTATGCATCGTATGCATTCACGACAAAATATTGGTAAAATATTATTAACGCCAGATGAAGCATTTAAGAATGATGCTAATGTAGGAATCAAAGCAATGCCAGCAACAACTGTACCAGAAGAACATAAAAGTGAATAAATTGTTGTATCGGATAATTATATCTATGTGTGTGTGTGTGTATATGCACATGAAATATATTTATTTTTACTTTTTATGTTGTGAAAAACACATTTTTGTCGTAGCTTGATTGAACACTTGTTTATCTTTTTATTTTTATTTTATTGTGCGTATCAATTTTAAACTGGGCAATAACAAGCAAAAACGGAAAAAATCTTCTGCTTTCAATGAGATAATGTTTTTTTTTTTTGTTGTAATTTATTTTTCATGTGATTTTATTGGTTATATTCATCTTTTTATCTCTATTATGATATGACTACTGATGTTTATTGATATGAATAGTTGTGGAAAAATAGATGTTAGAGGCAAAAAGATCTCTTGGTTTTACTTTACTTTTTGCTCACTGCATCATGAAATAATCATCCAATCTGGAGAAAACTTTGAATAATCTCAGAATGTTATTATTCAAAAAATCTAGTTAGTCATTTAAAAGCAGTTCGTCTAATAATCTACACGTCATTACCATATTAATTGTTGTACTTGTGGCAAAGCTTGAAATGCTTGTATAAATCCTACTGCTGGTACGTAGCCAGTATTTCCCGGATCTACTTGCTGCCACACCATTGGATAATATTGACTCCAATCACCAGGTAAATTGTAAAATCGCTGCATATTTGCTAGTAACAATTGCGCCTCCTGAGCATTCAAATAGCCCTGTTGTTGTACCGGCATATAGTTTATCACATATTGCCATCGTTGAAGAGGATTTATATTTCGTTGCAACAAAAGATAACCCATTAAAAATTCTTCGAATGTCAAAACTCCATTTCCATCCTGGTCAAACATCAGAAATGCTCGCTCCGCATTAGTATCCCAGTTAAATGAAGCTACAGGAGATTCTATAGCAGCATAAATATTTTTGAATTGATTAATTGTTAATCTAACAAATCAAATAAACATCATCTTTCAGCTTTCAAAAAATGATATTAAAACTATTAATAAGAGCAATAAAATTGTTCATAAATAAATTATATCAAAAAAATATTTGCATATGTTAGCCTCTATAGTTAATCTCGATAGATGTTACTCAAGAACACAATAAACAGGCGGAAAATTTTTATGTTAATTGTATAAAATTGTTATAGAGTGCTCTTGTTTACCTTCCGGTTGCTCCTGCTTGTTGTTGAAATGCTACTTCTAGCTGTTGAATGGCAGCTGGCGATAATCCCGTCATTTGTGAATAGGAGTTTAAATCCCAACCATTCAACGGTCTACTAGAGTATCGATTTCCCATAATTAAACTAGCTTGTCGTCACTTTACAAAATAAAATTACTAAATGTGTTTGCTTCAACACTATAAATTAGTTTCCACTACCAGTTAGCAATGTTTCGCATGATAAGGCACAAAAACGTTGTATTTTTCTGATGCAGAACAAGGTTAGCTTCATACACCATATAACCTGACGCTTACCAAACAAATAAAATGCATTGTTACCAAAGTCAAAAATAGAAATGTACCGTTTCATATCTGTCACGTGTTCTAACATTTTATACAAATACCACATACCAACTAAGAGTGAAAAAGGGCGGGAACGACTAGAGATGTGCACGGGTACATTTTCGTACCCATACCCGACCCGAAAATTTTTTTTCCACCAGACCCGACCCAACAACTTTGTACCCGTACCCGATTTATGCTTAAAAAATTTTCTTTTTGTTTTCCAGCTAAAAACTTGTTTTTCGGCTCAAGATGTGAAATTATCATCACGTTTTCAGGTAATTCTTTTTTAAGCCTTCATGTATTTTAACTAAACTCCTGTATTTTTTTACTAAAATTTTATAGGTTTTCCACTAGAACCTTCCGATTTTCTAGTAAATTAAACAAAAATAGAATCCATACCCGTAACTGCTCTACCCGTACCCGATCCGTACCTGACAACTTCGTACCCGTACCCAACCTTCAGGTCGGGTCGGGTTGCACATCTTTAGGAACGTCTAAAGTTAACAATCGACCCACCCACTTTTTCCAGTAATAACGGTTTCGTATATAGTAAAAACGTATATTCCAGTTCGATTCTGGGTAGAATCAGATACTTTTTTCATTAAAATCTGCACCCTCAAAACAACATCCATATGCTAAGTAAAACGTGTTTTTCTTAACTTTCTTACGCTCATACGACTAACTAAATACTCGATTAGATAGCTCTTGAAATTCTATACAAAATGAACTAGTCAGAATATCTTGAATGGTGAGGCCAGTTATCAAAGACATACAAAAGAAGCGTTAGAGTACGAAAAACAGCTCCCGAAGACTTTAGTCATTTTTTGTCTGTCATAATGAAAAATTATATACCTTTTAAAAATACACTGTTCTATAGCCCTCAGAATTCTCTACAAACTGAGCTGGTCAGAATGTCTCGACTGGTGGGATCAGTCACCAAAGACATGTTTCTCCCTTAGTAAATCGACTGCAGTTGGGTGAAGAAGCAAAGGGTTCTGACCAAGGTAAGATATCTGCATCGACTCATCTATAACGCTTTTTTTACCCAACTGCAGTCGATTTACCAGGGGAAACAGCTGTTTTTTGGGTTTTCTCCGATTTTCACCCAATGAAAAGTCACTGGAAATCATGGAAGATCACAAAGAATCACTGAAAATCAATTGTTTTGGTGATTTTCGATTGATTTTGGGTTAGTTTAAATCACCTGTTTCCCCCTTGCGATTTACGAATGACTACAAAAGGGGCGAAAATTACCAAAATATTCCGGTGAAAAAGCTTTATGGACAGCCGTGTGATATCTTACTTTCCTCAGAACTCTTTGCTATATCAGGCAGTATGATTTGGAAAATTTTCTGACCAAAAACCAAAGACTTGGTTTTCTAGCCTTCAGGTTATTTTTGAAAAATATATAATTTTTTATTATGACAGACAAAA